TAAACTTCATATTCAGAGATTATGACAGGAGCAGATTGAGGAGACTGGCAACTTTTCAGGTGACCTTTGATGGAGGCTCCTGCACATCAGCAAGCAGGTTTGTTTTGATTTGGTTTTGGTTTCAGATGTCCAGTTTGACGATGTGTCGTCAAGTTAACTGCACCAAATATTTAACAATGAAAGGATCCATTGGAGGTAGAGATGTTATATGTCCATAGCAGACTCTACTTGATTAGTGTTTGCAGGCAACTACTCCCCTACAGAACAAGCCTGGACTACTGTAAACATTTATAAGTGTTTCCTGCTTGAAGTAAAATATGAATCACAATTATCATGTAAGGGACTGATGCTTACAATTCACATTTTGAGATACGTAGTGTTATATGTCGGTGGTAATTTTTGTTCATGTATATTACATAAATACCAAATTTCAGGTGGGTATTCATGTTTTTATAACACCGCATGCAACTACAGTAAGAAAATACTTGGGCAGAGAGGTAGCAGAATAAAAGAAAAATAATTATTAAAATAATGCCAAAGGTTTCATAACTGGAATTCTTAACAGAAAATTTGAAACTCTTAGAATTTTATCATAGTTATTTAAAAATATAAACTACCTAATTGTTGTATCATGGAGTATACATTTATACACAGAACAAGGAAGATGCAGATGTCTATTTAGTCCCCTCCGTTGCACTATTTTCATGCCAATATAATGCTGTTAAGATCAGTAGAATTAGATGGTGGAGCACTAATGCAGATATGTGAAGAATTAGGTCATAAAATGCTACACTTTCAGGAGAACTTCCTTGAAGGCTAAAAAAACATATGGATAAGAAAGGGATATACTGTCCCTCAGGAGACGAAATTCAGTCCTGAATGGAAACAAAGGTGCCCTGATTTCCCTCTGCTTCTCATCATGTTTTATTAGATGCAGCTTTACCTTAGCAATGTTAGACATGCACAAAGGCTGAACCCAGGCTGAGGCAGTGTCACCTCTGCACCATCAAAAGGGGCTATGTTTCTCCTTTTCTTCTGCAGGATTGGTGCTTAACTTGTGGCATGATCAGGTAATTTAGGAAACAGAAAACTAATCCCTACAGGACTAGTTTTCCAAAGAGGCTCAACATGGTGTCAGACAAGCACAAAGGAGATAATGGGAACTTATGTTCACAGGAAAGGGAAGGCTGCATATATTTACACCACCCTACAATCAAGTTAGGCTATTTTAGTTCTGAAGTGTTGTAACCATGCTGTTACACGATCTGAAGTGCTGGTGTGTTGCACTTGTTTTATCCAGCATGGTATGCTTGGTCAAGAAATAGTTCTTTTCTTAGAGGAAGACTTGTCTGATCAAAAATTAAAGTTGTTTGAATTTCACTGGAAATTTCAATGGTTGCATATAAAATGCTATAACAACCCAAACTAGAAAACTCTAAATTTAGTGGCAAGCTCTCCTTTAACCAAGTAAAACAAACTAAGAAATGGTCCTAGATTGATTCAGATATGAACATTTTCATTGCAAACTACTGTGAGAAGAAAAGTGGAGGAATTCAAACCAAAAACCCTACTGAAATTGAGAAAACCAGATAGTTTCTGAGAAAGCTCTTGTTCTGTTGGAGGACAAAAGTTTAAAATTGTTCTGAAATGTCAACTAAAAAGGAAGCTATTGAATTACCAGGGTCCATTGTGTCTCTGCTTTATAAGACAGAAGAGTTCCTATCCTAAAGCCAGCTAAGGAACAGCAAATTGTCCTTGTGAGATGCGTGTACACAATCCTCACACTGGTACAATTCATTTATGTTATGGCAGCATTAAGTTTGTAAATGAAAATGCAAAATCAAATTTTCTTTCATTTCTCCCTCAATATGAAAAAACATATAACTGAACCTTTCTTTTAAGTGGATCATTTACTGTATGTGTTCCTGTATGGTCATTGTTTGCCCATCATTTCAAGAAAGGTGTGTTGCATGGGCAGAGGGACCTAGAATGTGTTTAGCCTACATAGTATCATACAACTTTTCTTCATGATGTAAGCACAAGTGAAATAACAGTATTGCTTTTAAAGTACTATTGGCAGAAGAGTCAACTGAAATGAGTAGATTAGTTTACTCTTTGGGGATACAGCTTCATGTTCCCTGCATTACTTATACTCTGTTCTGAAGATTTTCTTAACAACCATGATAGACGGCATCTTTTTTTCAATAAAAGAAGAATGAACTGTTCCTAGGTGTTTGCAAGGCTGGATGAAGGGACTTCAGAGTTCAGAAATTCTGCTCTATAGCTGACACTCAAAAGTAGACTTTGAGGGCGTAACATCTCGGTGAGTAAACTGAGTTTCTGCTGTTAACAGCATATCTGTACAATTTAAGTACTCAAAATTCAAAACAATTTTGAAATATTCTGCTTACTTAATTTATGCCTATCAGAAGGGATAAACTCTGCACTTAAGGGCTGCATCTCATCTGTTAGACTTGTCTAAAGTTACAGATCTACAGGTATAGCTTAATGACAGTTTCTTTTGGCAGCCTTGGGACTTACATCTTTTAAGGATCACCTTTAAATTAGACAATTTCCCGTGCTGGGACCTGGCAAGTCCAATGGGACATCTGAGGTAGTGAAGGAGAGGCAAGATTAGGGACACAGAATGGTGTGACTTAATCTGTTAAAGGAATGAGAAGAAATGTTTGTCAAACTGCAGCATGGAGCTGTCATCCTAAACCTTCTTTATAGTCAATGGACACCATGGGAGGTGTTCCAGATGGTTTAGGAATAGAGGACTTACATTTTGGAAGTAACTGTTTTCCCGGTTAATGATGGGTAGTTTTAAAAGGAGGGTTAGGGGGAAATGTCTGAACTTTAGGGGGAAAGAGGTATTACTTTTTCCTGGCTGCATTAAAAAAACAAACAAAACAAAAAAAAAACAACCCAAAAACAACTTCTCTGTGACTTATTAACATGTACTCAAATAAAAGTCTAAAGGAGAAAAGTAGTCTGGGTTGGAAACTTTCATTTTCTGTGTCCATGCAGTGCTCATGAAAACAGATCAGTTACAACCTCTTGCACTAAAAGATTACACTGGAAACAAGATTAGAGGCTACTTGTGCCAGCTGCCACTGTTAGAAGGAACATGGTAGATGTGAGATCATTGTCACTTCTGAGCTGTCGAAACAAGTATGAGAAGGTAAAGATATTGACAAATATATCAAACTGTGCTTACAAAATCATGTGTGATAAATTATAGATGCAAGATGCTGTTTCAAAAGTACCCAAAAACTATCTTTGCATTATTGATGTTGTCAGGCTGAGCCTCAGAAAATTTCAGCCCTAAAGTTTCTGTTAGCTTGTGGTTCAGCTGCATGAGGTCCAGTGCAAGAAGTAAAATATTCAGCAAACATCATTTTCTTCTCTCAAAATGCTGACTGCAGAGTTGATAGCGGGTTTGATTTGGTGTTGTGAATATCTAGAAAAATAGATACAGCTCACACAGCAAAAAAGTTCAGAGATCCCTTCCCTCTGCTCATATATATTCTTATCAGGCTGCAGTAAATATAACGTTTTCTCTGACTTAATGCGTTGCTTCTGAAATGCTAGAATAGTTTGTGTTTCAAGACCTATTTCTTAGTAAATACAAGATTTTTCCATGCATTTACTAAAAAAATTCCCACTAGAAGTTTCCTTAGCATCTAATGGCTTGGTGAGGACTCATCCCTCCCCCTCCTCTTCCTCCTTTAGACTGATCATTTATCTTATTAGGGAAAAACAGCATATGTGATTTTTTCTGGTTGTTATGCAGCAGTGGAAATCATCCAGTCTGTTCCCCCTGGCCTGTGTTCCCAAGGAGCCACCAATTAGCAAGTCTGAGTTTTAACCGCTCCTCATAAATCAATGCTATTATAATCATTAAACAATGATGTCATTTCAATCCAAAGTATAGCTTTATTGTGTTTGATTATTAATAATTGTATCAAAATGATAATTTTCTCTTAAGTATTTTAATGGGCTTTTTTAATACATGCATCCAGCTGCACTTTATCACTCAATGTATCTCCTCTGCGTGTCTTCAACTCACAACTGCCGACTTGATGGACTCTTACCGTGCCAGTGAAGAGCTTTGTGAAGAGCTCTGGGAGTGGGACCGGATTCTGCTTTGCTTAGTGACAGCACAACTGTCAGCTCAAAACTTTCTCTGCAGAATCTGCCTGACTAATGATAATGGAAGGGCCAGAAAAAAAGTGCAGCTGGGGCTGCTGTTCCCAGGTTGGGATGGAAGCCCTGGGGGTAAAAAAATTCATCTTTTTACTTAGTGTATTTGACATGGGAGAAATAAAGTGAAAATCAGCCTGTATTCCCATTACACCTTTTCAAAGTTAAACTGCACCCTGATCAGTTCTGACTGAATTACCTTCTCAGGATGTTCTTAAAATTATTCTTCGCTCTTCCTTGGTTAGTATATTCAAAAGAAGAGTGTATTCTACTCTAACAAAAGATGTATCAATTTGCTATGGAAGCCATGTGTCAAGTTCAAGATATTTCTAATAAGGATGGAATCTAAGTATTTTTTAGCACTAAATCTGCCTTGTAGTCTCAAATGTCAAATGTAATTGCAAAAAGATGCTGTAGTGCTTGCCAGTGCATGTGAGTGTGTGCATATCTCTGTGTGTGTATATCTATCTATATATATATCAATTTATGATTATGAAGTTTTGTTTCCAATTTCATACCTATTTCTTTTTTTTTTTTTTTTCTCTAGTTGGTCCTATTTGTATGCATATTTTAGTAAAAGAGATTCTAAAGAAATTAAAGGAAAAGCATAATGTCTAGTTCAGAAAAAATAGTTTCCATCTAGACATTAGTAACAGGACATAATAAATGGGGTTATTTTAATTTCCCTGCTAGAATGTTAAAGCTGGTTAGTATGAAATCCTCTCTTTTCTTCCATCCACATAATTATTATTCTGTAGCTGGCTCTGCATAACTTGATTATATTATGTTCTCAGGGCCGTTGCTGGAGTTGACGGAGACTCTGATTTAGTTCATATGGAAATCCAGGACCCCAGTGGAGGTATGCAAATGAAAATGTTATCAGTTGATACCCTTGTGTATAGTAATTTCTCTTTGTTTTAGAGAGTACTTTTTGTATTGTTTTTAAAAATAGGCAGAAGAGAAATTATGCAAGTCATATTTTTTCTCTGTTTATCTGTAGTCAGCAAAGCTGTCCTTTTGTATAAAAATATAGTATATTTTTAAATTTACTTGTTTTCCACTCCAAGATGGATTGACGTCAAGATACTATGCTCCACTGAAAATGTCCATTAATAATGCAATTTATTCTGGCAGTTAAACATTGAACATTTTTTCCTCATTTGCAAATAAAACTGGCAATACTGTGTTAGTGCTGGGTAAGTGTCTGTTGAAGTGAATCGTTGCATATGTCAGCCTCACTGCACTAACCACCATCTACCAGAATTTCCTCATGTTATAGTATCCACTCTACTTTGAGACTTCAAAAGGAAAAGAAATGAAAACGCAGATTAGCAGTCAGAATGTGCTGTGCTAAACAGTCTCCATGATGCCAAAGGCTTGAATAGTTTCTTGTTACCAACTGTACTCTTGAAAGAAAATTTAATTCCTTGAATCAGATCATATAAGCTCCTGTGCAGTCTTAAAAATGAGTTGTAAAGACTGCCCAGCCTGATTCCCCTGATCCAGTAGCTTTTCCTCATTTCAACCCTATTAAAGAACCAGTCACCATGTTAAAATCTGGATGATGAAGTTTCTAAATCTCTTAGTGGTGAGATTTCTGAGATGTGGTGACCCCTATGCAGCCCCACCAGCTGCTCTGTTTAGAGACAGCATAAGAAGATTCTTCAGGAGCTGGATGGAGATTTTTTTAAAAAGTTATTTAACAGAAACAGCAGAAAAAAAAGAAAAACTCTCATGAATTATCTCCTGGCTGGGTTCTCAACAAACTGACTTATAGTCAGTACAAGCATTGTCATTGATTTTAGTGGAAACAGCATCTTTGTACTACCTATCTGATGAAAAGCTATAATGCTTGTCATGTGAATTATGAGTAACTGCAAGACTTTGATGCCCCATGGCTGTGCTTGCTAAAATATCCTTGTGGTGATGATTTAGACATAAGCAGGAAAACTTTAATTGACTCTAGCTACCTCTTAAACAGATCTAGATCTTAAAACAGATATTTGTGTAGTATACTGGTTTGGACTTTTCTAATTGAAAGTCATAAAGGTTGGAATACATTTACTATCACACTGCAAAAGTAATGAAGACTATGGGAGTGCATTATTTGCTCTTTTATACTGTATCTGGAGTGTGGGGAGAATTAGTGATCTGTACATAGGATTGTGTATATAACATTTTTCTCGCTACGCTTGGGAAAGTCACCCAAGTACTTTGTGCTCAGAAGCTTGTGACAAAGGGTGAGCTGCACAGGGTTTGAATCTAGGAGAAGGTCTTTGGGCCATACCTGGTGTAAGATATGATTATTGGCTCTGCTCTCTCTGATAAGAGCAGATTGCATCAAAGATGCGGTGATCCTTTTCTAACAGCCCAGGCAGCATGGCTATTCCTTGTCCATTGATAACTGGAGAGAAAGGGAGAGGCTATAGCGTCCACTGATGTAAATTAGTACAGGCGTTTTCAGCGAGGTTTTAGTTCTGAATATAGAAGTCCTGACCCAACAGAGCAGTTCCAATAGCATGTTAATAATCTGTCTTAACTCACCTACAGAGCTTTGAAAATATCCTTTAAAATTCTGCAGTGTCTATTAAATGGAGTCTGATTCTCTTCTCACTTATCACAATTTTATACTGGGGTCGATCTATTGATTACGGTTATGTTGTGTCAGGCTGCCATTTCTCCAAGTGAATAATTTGTCTCTGTGCATAGGTTAAGTGAGAAAAGAGGCTCCTTCTATTATCCCCACCCATGAATGTCTCATTCATCTAACCCCTAATCTCTCTGGACCAGCAAAATTTGGATAATAACAGGCTGCCTCCCGGGAATGATCTGAACTTTAAGCAGTTAATATATTCTCAGTACATTGGAGATTGAAAAACTCTTGTATGAGGGTTTAATATAATAATTTTGCAACTAACTCACCTGGCAAAGGCAGCACTTTCCCTACATGGATAACATTTTATACTGCTTGCTGCTGCTTCCCTTGATAGCCCTGTCATATGTTCCTGTCTCTCTTCCCTCAGGTTATCGCTACATCACTTGCCAGATTCAAAATTGCTCTGATAAGACAATGACAGTCCAGTTTGCTGGTGGCACTGATCGGGATTCCCTGACTGTGCAGGATGACTACATATTTCTTCAGGTACTGCCACTTTCTGGATAGATGGCCCATTTTCAAATTCAAAACCAAAATTTTAAACAGTGCAGCAACACTGTAATATAGGAGCATGGAGAAACCTGTTCCAGAGTATGTATGCTGATTTATGAGTTTTTACATAGAGCAAAGCATTCCTTTATCAGTCAAAAAAAAAAAAAAAAATGCATCTTTAATTTGTGTGACCAGTTCCCTATTCATACGGTTGATTTTAATTTCTTACCGACCTAACTTTAACTATATACATTTTTCCAGTGGATTGTGTAGTTTAAAGTTACTTTTTATAAATACTGTTTTGTGTTAGGCAAAATACGATCATTTTGTTTTTATGCTTACAACCTCTTCTGAGTCCTTTCCAGTACCACCATAACACAAAAAGGCTCCCTAAGAAGAGCATCCAAGGGAAGCCACTGACAGAGTAGTGGCTCAGCTTCTTCATGTGGATTCTTCTCTGAAGAGGTTTTGCTGGGGAAGAACTAACCTGGCTGTGTGTGGGAACCAAAAGGGTAAAATGACCATAGCTGGGGAGCTTGGAGCAACTTAGAATAGAACCATAAAATCATTTAGGTTGGAAAAGACTCTTAAGGTTATTGAGTCCAACCATAAACCAAACACTGCCAAGTCCACCATAGACCATGTCCCTAAATGCAAAGTCTACAACTTGTGATGGTCAGAATTGTGTTGGGGTTATTTCATTTCCAAACTACAAGACCTGTGTTCAGAAACCTGGGCTCAAATTCTGTCAGCCTTATGGCACCAGTACAACTCGGGCACACTTGAAATTTCATTTTATGTGCTTGGGAGTGCTTGTGATATGACTGTCGGAGCTGCAAATTTTTCAAAGAATTAGGTCTTCCCTGTTTTTTAAGATTTTACTTCGGGAGTTGCTTGTACTTTCCTCAATGGTTGGTACAATTTTTCCATACTTTGATATGATTTGCTTGTTTCAAGGCTTGTCTATTTATTGACTATTTTTAGGAAAGCAATATCATGGCAATGGATAGGTCTTCCCACCATTGCCTTGATGTACATCAGATTGTTTTCTTTGCAGCTTTCCCCCACTTGTAGCTGTTTCTTCCAAAAGTATCTGTAAATTAATGGAGACACCAAAGATCTGTCCTCCTCTTGTTTGTCACAGCAGTTTCAAGGGTCCATATGGCTTAAAACATTTAGCACCACAAAGAAACAGCAAAAATGGATTTGGGAAAGAGCTTTTGAATTAAAGTAGGCATTTTTCAGCTCAGGTCTAGCACTCATGGCACTCATTTTTGCTCAAAGGTATCATTATCTGTGCCTTCTCTCAGGCACACTCTAAAATCCATTTCACGGTGTGTAGAGAGTGAGAAGTGCTTCTCACCATGTGAACTTCCAGACTGCTGTGCTCAGCAAAACACCGGCTGCTTCCTCTTCAAGCATTTTGTTTTGCCAGACGTCTTGTATAATTGCAACTCGAGCTGTTGTTATTCAGTCTCATGCCAGGCATGGGCACACATAAAATGCAAGTGCAATCTGGAAACGTGCTCATAAAGTAATAGACAGTTGTTACTAGGAAAATTATGCCCTTGGTAATGTAGTCTCTGTAGATTTGAGACCTGTCAATGCCAGTAGATGAGATGTGCATTTATACCATATAAAGGGGAAACATCGCTAGTCTTCTCCTTTCCATCTTAGCAGCAGTAAATCACAGTATGTAACATAAATCTATCTTATTACTAAATTGGTTTACAGTTAGCCATTTCTATATTACTGGAGGATGGAAGATAACTGGGATCCTGTAGTCACATCTGAAGTGCAGCTGCCCCTGAGGTGTGATGCAGGTCACTACTTACCTGCTCCAGTGAAAGCACACAGAGCTGCTCATCTGAGAAACAGCATGCTTTGAAAACCATGTGAAAATTCTTTTTTCACTACACTAAGATAATGCCATATAAGTTAGAATCAGACCAGGGACTTCTCTTAACATCGCAACAATATCTGTCAGAAAGAAGATGGGACAATCTCTGTGCAAAAAGAGAGGAGAGTTTGAGACTGTCTTATTGCCTCTAGCATGTCTCACATCCCCTGAGCTGTGCAGCTGTGAATCGGATGCAGGTCTGTGCTGCTAATGCTGGCCCAGCTCTCAAACTTTTAACACCTTAGAGGAAGATTTCAACCCCATTTCTTTAGTATGTCTCTATCCACGAAGAACAGGAACTTTCTAATACTCATTTCTTTCCCAGTTTGTACTGACAGTCAGTTTCGGAGGTGATTTTAGTAGGAGGATTAAAGTTTCAATACTGTTTTTAAGCACAGCCCAGCCTTTAAAGTCAGTGAGGCTTGACACTAGTTACTTAACTCTGATTCTCTGCTGCCTTTCATCATCTTCAGTCATTTAAAATGAGTGACATAAAAAAAAAATGCATAATGAGGAAGATGTCTATGAAAAGATGGAAAATACTGCTATTTAACACTAATTAAATAGATGGTGAAGGTTTTGGTTTAATCCATTTTAACAAATCAGATTCCTAACGGGCATCACATTCTTTCTATCAAAAAAAAAAAAAAAAAAGGAT